CCTTGTTTGGGCTAAAAATGGGATGAATGAGGTTTGCTTACTTCTGTCTAGAATTTGATGATTTTGAGATAAATGGATTAATTTGGTCTGGTCGTCGTCGGAGGATACCTCGAAAAAGATGATGACTGAATTGTACAAGATAAATACATAAATCTCTCATGCCACCACTTTTTTGGGGACGGCGATGAATTCACCATGTTCATCTCAGGTGAGGGGATTACAGGGTTCGGATTTGCATGCGTGGCTATTTACACAAGTAAACTTCGCAGAGAGAATAATTGGCCACAATGGCATCATTGATATGACCAAACTCTATAAATCGGGGCCCACTTTGCCCACCATTCTCAGTTTGTGTCTGTGAAATGGTGGTGGTGCACGTGTCGCGACGATAAGTGGTGCTTACATATGCAAATAAATAATGTGGTAAATTGTGAATAAGTTTACATTTTCTTGTGCTCATATGAAAAAAGAATGACGGACAATAACAATCCCGAGGGAGAGATTCACTGCGAGTGGAAACAGTTGATCAAGGTGTTGCTCTCGATAAGAGAACGCTCGGCGGGTGGTGCGGGGTGGCGAGTGGGGGATAAAGTGGCGTCGCGGGGAGGTAGAGGCGAAAAGGGAGGAGGAGGAATGGGTGTGGTGAAAAGTCTGGGCAGTGGGATGACGATAATCGTGACGATGGCGACGTTGCTGGTGGTTTTGTTGGGGATGACGGCGACGTGTGTGGAGGGGGCAAGGGTGGGGATTTCCGAGGGCAATTTGGGCACTGGATGGAGAAGGACGACTGGAAATGTGGGAAATCAAGAAGGTATGGATGGATTTTTTTAGAAAATTTGGAGATTTGAAGATTTTTTTTAGAGAAGGAAAGGTTTCAGAGATTTCTAAATGGGTGGATTTCAATAAAAAAAATAAAATCAAGGACTTCTTATCATTTTTTAAAAATATTTTGAAATGTTTTGAAAGGATAAATGTTTTGTTGGTCTTCGACGCCAATACATTGAAATTTTAAATTTTAAATTTTAAATTTTAAATAAAATCAAAAATTTATTTTAGGTAAGAAGGAAATGCCTTGTTAAGAAAGTACAATTTGTTAGTTTTACATTCAAATTTAGTTTGAATTTGTGAAGTTTCCAAATTTTGAAGTTTTGAAATTTAGAAATTTAGCAATACATTTTTTTTACTAATCCTTCTACTTATGTAATCTGTAATAATTATGCCAATTTTTTCATGGTTTCTCATTTCAACTAAACATTGCTTTTTAGGCCGAATAATTAGAATTCTGGGGACGACGCCGAGGTTTCCTCCTTCGACGACGACGACGACGACACCCACGACGACCACCACAAAGCACCGTCGCTATCCTCCTTCTTCTGGGGGAGTGGACGTGGAGAACGACTCCTGGTTCGCCTCGTCATCTTCGTCGTCCTCGTCCGAAGGGGGCAGCAGCAGCGGGGCCGATCGCGTCCAGAAAGTCAAGGCCAAATGGAAAGGGGACAAATTCTGGGCAGAATCAGTCGCTAACTTGACACTGCTAGAAAGGTAAAGATATTTTTTGGGTAACAAAATTTGCAAATGCAAGAAGGCTAGATGTTAATTTAACTGAAGCAACCGAGTAAAAAATGGAGATGCAAAAATCCATGTACATATGCAAAAAATCAATGTATGCAAAAAATATAATTTACCCATCCAAATTAATAAGTTTGACCTGTTTGAAAGCTAACGTGTTTTTGATGCAAAAAATGCGAAAAGAATAGAAAACGCACAAAAATTGTACAAAAATGCAAATAAATAATGTGCACAAAATATAATTCTGGCGAATAATATCTAAAACAAGTTACATATTAAATTTATTTCCCCAACAGTCGCAAAACTTCGGTTTTTCTGAACAATTCGGAACCATCGCCTCCGAGCAAAACTCCTCCTCCGGATGTCGCGATGTCGTCGTCGAGCCGAAAAATGGCCTCGTCCCAACCACCCACCCAGTCCACGACGTACTTTGACCCGGCGGACTCCAAATTTAGAGCCTCTCCCACCATCACTGCCGCAGACGAATCAGGGGACGAATCAACCCCTGACTTATCCCCTCGTCCAACTACACGGTTGTGATCCCCCCCAAGAAAAAAATCATTTCCGAGCGGACAAAATCGCACAAAAACAAGAAGAAGAACAAGCCTCGCCCCCCCAATCCGGCCACAAACTTCAACCTTCCTCCCACAAAGTCGCCTGGAAGGGAAGTCCCGAGAACCACCCTGACCGCAGATTTGTCCGTGTACGGGCAGAATTATGTCCTTGAGTATGAAAGCGATGAGGCCGAAGGTCAAACCAAAGGTCAAGAAGAAGAAGAACAGCAACAACAACCAGTCGAAGAACACGAGGAAGAAAGAGAACACGTCGAAGAAACCAACTCGATTGAAGTCGTACCCTCCACGACGCCAAAGGTTAAGCAAATCGTGGACAGTTTGCGACGACAGCAACGCCCCCATCACCACCACCACCAGCAGCAGCATCACCACCACCACCAAGGGAAGAGTAAGAGCAAAGATAAGAAGGCCTCCAAGGTCAAGGGGTCGAAGGTCAAGACGCGACAGAAGAGCAAATATGGGAGCACGTTCGGATTCCCGAGACCAGCTTCGACCGCGACGACGACGACGAAAGACTCGGCCGCCACGACGGCCTCGTCGACGACGCTGAGCTACGATTCGGACCAGAGGACGACGCTGGTGGCGGATTTGACGCCATACGGACAGGAGGCTTACTTGGAGTACGACTCGGACGAGGGAGGGTCCAGTGGGTCGGGGGAGACGAGAAACGCCTCCACAATTCTTAATACCACGATTGCCTCCCTCTTTGGCGAATTCTACCCCAAAAATCCCACCAATTTGTTGAACGTGTTGCAAGCCTTGGCCTCAAATATGCAACCGATCAAGATGCACAGCCCGTAATTTCTTTCATGCTCTTTTTCCGATTAAATTTCCATTTCACGTAAAAAAAATATTACAGGTTGGGCGGTGAAGCCCCTTCGATCCCGTTACGGTACAATGTCAACTTTACCAATAGGTAGGTCACGGAGGTGTCAAAATCATCTTCGAGATTAGATTTTCAGGGCTTAAACGGCCAAAAAAACGAGAATCTGCATGGAGAATACATCAATCGTACGAAAAAAATCCGTTTTGTGAAGAAATTAGTCGTAAAAATTAAAAGTTAATTAAAGCAATTAACTTTCCACCGTTGTCAAACTACCGTGTTTTAAAAATATCGTGAAAACAATGTACAGGGTGGTTAAAATGTCACGCCACAATGGAAAATTTTTCAATGGGAAAAGTCCCTAAATCTCCATTAGTTACAAGATTTCGAATTGAGATTTTTAGCCCGAGTCAGGGCTTATGGAACCGTCATGTCCGTCCGTCCGTCCGTCCGTCTGTCCGGCACGATAGAGCCAAAACGGCTGAACCGATTGACTTGAAATTTTTACCATATGCATATTGGACAAAGTTAGGAAACGAGTTCGAAAATGGGCAAAATCGGTCAAGTGGTTGACCGGTGGGGGTCATCGGAGTGGGTGGGGTCTCGTGCACCAAAATTTCAAAGTTGTCGTAGAAAGCTGAAATCTGGTACAGAGGTTGCTAATGGCTCCTAATAGATAAAAATGACTTCAAGTTGGACAAATTTTCATCTTGAGGGACTACGGGGTTACCCATACCGATTTTTCAAAATCGTCATACCAAGCTGAAATTTGGTAGATAGATTGCTAATGGGTCTTAATAGAAGAATATGACATGCAATTGGTAAAATTCTTATCTGGAGCGACCCTGTGGGGTGACCCATACCGATTTTTAGAAATTACTTTAAAACATTAAATCCGGCACGGTGATACCTAATGGCTTCTCACGAAAGGATATGAAGCTAAAAGTGAGCAAATTTTAACCAGAGTGACCCTGGAGGAGTCAGGGACTCTGTCCCTGACTCGGGCTATATGGAGTCTGCACTGTAGGTTTTTATAAATTATTATCAAAACTGATGACAAAATTCTTAAAATGTTGCATTTTAGAGACAAAATTTCGGTAACTAATGGAAATTTACAAATTTTTCCCATCGAAAAATTTTCCATTGTTGCGTGACATTTTAACCACCCTGTATTTTGGCCGTGATAAAAAGTTAATTTCTCAACAAAACTAGTGTTTTAGTACGATTGATGTATTCACCGTGCAAATGAACTTTTTTGGGGCTATAAATGCTGTATTTTGTGAAAGTATTTTGCCTACCAATGACCTGTAGAGGTCACACGAATTATGCCATGACTGAGATTCCCATAATTTGCGCAGAGTTCCCATGAAGGTGAATCCCCCCACGTCCCCCTTCCTCTTCAGCCTCGATCTGGACTCGTTCTTCACGCGGATGGCCATTTCCGTGTTTTACTCCACCGTGGCCATCGCCCCCCTCGTGTACATCATGATGGGCGGGATTGGGGGGCTGGGTGGCCTCTCTGCCCTCCCGCTCCTCCCCTTCACCGGCAAGAAGAGGCGGAGACGCCGAAGGTCAACTCTGTCCAGGTCACCAAATGACCCCGACAACGACGACAACTACGACTTCTACTCGGAGCAAGAAATCCACCAATTGGAACTCGTGATGCACAGATTTTGGAAATTTTTAGCAAATTTTGAACCCCAGCAGCAAGCTCAAAAGGTGTCCAAGAAAAGGAGAAGAATTTCGAAAATTTGAATTGAAAAAGGTAAATATAAATTTTTGAAATTATTTAATTTTCTATTGTAATACAAATTGTTAATTTTTGTAAATATGAGCTTCCGGGATGATATATTTTACCCTATTTAATTATGAATTTATTTATTGGGATGATGAATTCTTAATGAGTGTGTGAATGACTTATTTAAGAAATAAATTTTGAAAATGAGACTTTTTGTAGGGATTATTCTGGGGTTCACGAGTACCAGCATATGAGCATACTTCGTCAAGAGAAATTAAGAATCACGTCCCAAATATCAAAACAGATTGTTTTTAATCCATTTTATTATTATTTTATAAATGAAATAGTTCACGAAACACGGGGTAATAATAAGTATTGATGAGATGATGATTTTTTTTCAGGATGCAACAATAAAGATATTTATGTATGTATGTAGAATTCATAGAAATATTATTATTGTGTGCATTACTCTTCTAGGTAAAATTACACTCATGCAGTATTATCATAATATTTGTGATTTTATTACGTACGTGGCGATGGATGTGTGTTTTGTTTGTGTAAGATTTTTTAGTTTGGCTTATCATGCAGGGAATCATGATAAACAATTATCTTTAGTGTTAAACATTTCTCTAAAAATTAGCAACGTCATTCTTAACCATTCAAATATTTAGTTAGTTAGTGACAGTAATTAATATTAATATTGATGACTCGGCGGCTGATTTGTGTGGTTATTCTTTGTGTGTGTGTAGTTTAATTAGCAGGCATGTTGAGAATTTTTAGCAGCTTCTCTTTCATCTCGTCCATTCGGAGCGATCTTAATTTAGGGATCAAAATTGTACTGGCGTCATAACACGATCCGCCGGAGATCCGACGTTGCTGTGATCATGTTGCATTGAGGGCAAAGTTTCTTACTCCCCTGTAAAAGTAGAAATCTGATGAGTTTTTGCAAAAGCAAATATCTCTTTTATAATAATCATGCGCAATTTACGTGTTTTTTTTTGTTAAAATATTTGTAAAATAACTGGGATCTTTAAATCAGTCATAATGTTTGGGTTGATTTTAAAGCAAACAATAACGAGGGTATAAAATGTTTCGCAAATTAACGTAGGTCTCGATGACTCATCCCCGAAATCGTCAAAATCAGCACATTTTTAATCATTCCTCGGCTCTGGGAATTTATTTTAAAATTCTAATTTGTAGCCAGTAAATTTAGGTCAATAATTAAGTTTTTAAATAAAATTCAGCCAGTTTTGATGAGTTTCAACTTTTCTGAAGGCTTCACCTGAGATCCCCTTTTTTAAAAACTTTCATTTTCTACTTTGCTAAAAATTGATCAATTTCATTTCGAAATTTTAATAACAAATCTATTAATTACCAAACTTCGCAACCAACACTTTTCGCAATGCACGTGCCAGCATGATATGGATACCACGGGTTTCTTACAGCTTCCCTGTAACAAATTTGTAACATTCATAAAATTTTGGCCAATTTTTTAACCCTTAATTTTGTGTGCATTATTACGCTGCAAACGTGACAATGGGTGCCGTCATTGGGGACACCCGTGGTCGTCGTTTCCTTCTCCATTTCACGAATCCTCGTCCTCAAGGCGTGAATGACCATGCGGAGGTTGATATTATCGTTGACAGGACCAACACCTCGCCCACCACCAGCATCCGACGAGTCCTCATCATACCTGCTGAAAAAACGAAAATGTGTGTAAAAAACGGTCAGAAACTTATGGACAGAGGGCAAGTACTTCTTGTCAACTTTTTCATTTTATGACGATCGACGGTCAAACTTTGTACGCGTGTTGTGCTCCCTAACTCGCATAGATCAATGAAATTTCTAAATATGTTTACATATCGTACGCATTTCGTAAATTTTTTGCCATTTTTTCGCAAATGTTGAATACATTTCAGCACTTTTCGTAATTACTTATCTGCTTATGAAAGAAATGTAGAATGTATATCTGTACCACTTGTTTTCTTTGGAGTGATTTGCACCATCCTGCTCCTTCGACGGGGATGGGGACTTCTTTAACACGGCCTGAATATCGGCCTCGCAATATTGGGGACATCCGTACGCCGAGATCTCATCCCCGTCGACGTCAATCTCCTCATCCCGTCGCTTCGAGGTCGTCATGTTTATCGCGGTCACTGTAAAATCATAAATTAAATTAGTATGCAAAAAAGGTGGGAAATTTTCGTGACTCGTTTTGCTTTTTACATACTTGACGAGTTATGACTAGACTTCAATATCCTCCTGTTGCCCCACTCGTACTCATTCGCGTCTCTGGAATCATTGTCCTCGTCGCCTTCAATGTCCACCGGCTCGTCGTCCTCTTCAATCTCGCCGTTCTGAAACGAAGTACAGAAAATAGTTCAATTTCATATACACAAGTTATCAGTATGCTGTTTCTTTCTTGACCCACCTTTCTGACATCTAAATGACCCGACAACTGCTCATTCGAGCCGTGCAGTTGCATCCGACACATGGAAAAGTTGACTTGCGGGTGGCTCGGCCCACTGCCTCCGCTCTCCTCGCGACGCCGCCGAGTTTTCAGGCGGAGGCGAGAATGACGATTATTTCTGACTCGTTGATACGTCTGCAAGGCAGTCAATTAGTTAGAAATGTGCAGAAAATTTACCGCTTATTTTTTGCATTTTACAATGGAGCTCTCTCAGCGTGTGCTCCCCGATTTTGAAAAAGACTCGTGTCAATCCATCGCAAATTTAGCTAATATGAAATTTTTGTAAGAGACATGCTGTCCCAATGCTCAGATTTTGCGGAAATATTTGCATCTGAAGAGGAGAAAACGTGCAGTAAATTTGGATAGTGGAAAAATTGTCAACTTTTTGAGGCGTTTTCGCTCTTTGGATGCAAATAACCTGAACATTGGGAGATTATAAATTTCATACTAATTAAATTTGTGCTCGATTGAGACTAGTGTGGTCCAAATTGGAGAGCATAGGCTGGGAGAGTTTCATTGTTAGTAGGGCTTACATCCCATCTCGAATCCTGCGACAATTCCCCCTCTTTTTTGTTGCTGGGCGAATCTCGCGACGAGCAGGGTAACGGTTCTCCGCTGCGGAGGTGAAGTTGCGCCTGTCGCCTGATTTGGCTGATGCAGATGAGCTGTTCAACCTCGTTCAGGAGGTGAGACTCTAGATCCATGGGGTGCAAGGAGAGCTTGCAGACGGGGCAAGGAATTTCGCCGTGGCGTCGTCGTCCTGAAAATTAATAAAAAAACATGGCTTTTAGAGTCGAGTTGGTTAAGATCTGTGACGAGAGATGGGTGTAGTCAGCTTTCTCGGGAGTATGAAACTACCCGGGTTTTATGGGAAAAGTCAGGGTGTTAAATACGTATGTACAATTATTTAACAAAAATTATGAAGTCTCCTGAACAAATTAAAATGAGGATAATTCATCTCGTTTTACGTGATATGAAGATGCATTTAGTTAACCGACTAACTGCCTAATTGTTTAACACATACATTTTGGTGTAAAGTTGGACAAGGTAAACACGCTAAATTCGTGAAATTTGTTTGTGAAATCCCATTTTAATTTCTATATTTTGTGAAAAGTTAATTGGTGAATTTATGCCACATTTACGCACCCACATTGTGATATGAAGCCACATTATTAAAAAAAATAACAAGTCTAATAAGTAATAACTTTAATAAGTTTACTAAACTCTGTTTCACGCTATTTGGGTTCATTACATTGAGTACATTAACCAAATGAGCCGAATTATTTTATTATTTAACAGCAGCTATCTTTATTTTGGCGTTTAAATTATTCAATTTCGTATGATTTTTGTTAGCGTACTCAGTGTGATGAACTCGCGTGAAACGGAGTTTACCTAACTATCCAATTATATTTTTTCATAGCATGAAGTATCTTGGATAAGCTAAAGAAATTCTAAATTAGTTAATCAATTGCTCAATTTGCGTCTCATTTTGTGTCTCTGGAAAAGTCGGATTGTTAACGTTTCTATGTAATGCTGACATAATCGGATTTTCTCAGCTCGCCCCCACCTCATAACTCATCCTGCCTTTCTCTCTCTTTGTTTGCACTGCACTTTGTTCTTCTCCTTGTGGTCTAAATAGTCGTAAATTACTGGCCCGATTTTGATTCATGGGACACAAAGTGGTAAACTTTTCCACTCCACCGGCTGGATGCACCCTGCACATCCAGTCCTCCTCCTCCGCTCTAAGAAATCGGAGCTGATTTGTATCGGAGGAAATGTGGTTGGCGATGTGTGTTTACACAGCATGAAAAAGAAACATGTTCGACACTCCAAATCCCTTCTCCCCGAAATTGTAAGTGGTCCCGAATTTTAGTTTGAATCGAAAATCCATCCCAGTTTAAGTTAACTTTAAATAAAGGCAGAGTGGAAATTGGATTGTGATTCTTATCCGGCTTTTCTTCTCCCCACACATGTCCTCGTCTTCCCTGCTAAGTGGATTCTTCAGAAAAGAACACACGAGTATGTACAGAGATACGTACACATGTGGCATTAGAGGGGAATAGATATGCAAATGTAATAAAGTTCTGTTTGGGAAGATATGGAGAGAAAATAAGTACTTTTGTCTCACGCGGAAAATCGACTCGATTTCCAACATTTGTTTACGAGTAGATCATTTAATTGAGGGATGTTTTTCAGGCCGAGATTTATAATAAAAATCATGAACGCCAAGAAAACTACTGGTGTCTTAAAGTATAATTTCGAACTCCGACTTATCGGCATCATTTACTGTTTACTGTTTACTGTAGTTTATTCAAATGTCGCGAATCATCAGTTATACACTGCTTTTCAGATCAAGACACAATAATAAAAATTTGTACTAATCTACATATAACTATATATAAATTTGTTGCCATAATATTATAATTATAAATTGTTAACATCTGGTCCATTGTGATTTATTTGACCAGTTACAAACTCACGTGCATTTGATTGAAACAATCCGTAGGACAATCCGTTTATTTGGTTGAGAAAATGTGGAAACCTATTTTAAACGACTAGATTACGATGTAATTGTGGATATATTTTCAAAAATAAGCAAAAAAAAACAAGTTTTTTCACACAACCTGCCAGAAATTTGTACAATTTCAAGCCTAACTGCCCCAACTTGTCAGTAAAGATGGAGTAACAAATCACTGAAAATCGACTCATTTGTGACAAGATTTATCTGCGTATTTATTTATTTTTTTACGACTAGCTTATGATTTAATTCGGTATATTTTTCAAGCTACGAAAACAAGTCATCCGTCTACAAAAAATGTTCGCCCCTTCTCCTTCCACACGGGCATGATTCATTATTGAGTAAAAAGTTCAGGTGGTCTCAGATCTGGAGAAAGTCGGAAAAAGTGGCTTTTCTCCTTGTTTTTTGTAGGAATGTGTTAATGTTGTGTGGTGGTGAGTGAGGCTAGGTTGGTGTCCGTGGTGTTATGGGCTTTGGGGCGAGATTATGTATTTGTGTGGGGAGAGAGAATAAGGCGAAAAGTGGAGATGGGATGACCCACTTGAGCCAGGGATTTGTCTCAGGGTCGCTAACAAGCGGTCGTCACTAAGCCCTCCCTTGTGTTCTCCCAGCCCGTCCATTCGTCATACGGACCAAGCCACCACTTTCTCCGCCGCCACAGCCACTATCTGGCCACGGATTAGAGGAGCAAACTATCGGGAAACGTGGGACGTAGTGATGATCCTCCGTCTGATAGATGAGCATGTTGACGGCCCGGGTGATTGCCTCGTTACGAGGGATATAGCCAAAAAAGGGGGAACACCTGAACCTCTCCGCGCCCCTAATGGTGTGACAGATGGTCGTCGTCCTCCTCGTCGACTAAGCGACCACTGTTTAGATGCGGCCCAATCGACTCGTTCTTCTTCTTTGGGAGGAGAGTCGAGTCCATGCAAATTCTTCACTTTACTTTCGCCACACGAGAACCAATCTATTTTTTGGAAGGAAGGTGAGTGAGGTTATCGAGCAGGGTAGATCTCTAAATCCCGGGTTTAATGCATTTTATCTGACCTCAAACTTTCGTCTGATGCATTTTTCATCTCGAGTCACTCCATGTCGAAATTGGAGATTGGTTCGAGTTTACAAGAGGAGCAAGCTAATTTTGTGGCGAATTTGGAGAATATTGTATTATTATGAAGAAGGAAAAGGTGTGGACTGAAGTGGCGAAAGACGAAAAAGTGAAAGTATAGTCGCCACGTGGAAATTGAAGTTTAGAGGAAGCTAATTTTGTGGCGAATTTAAGCCCATCAATTTGACCGAGGATATTGCATTATTATGAAGAAAATGTGTGAAAACTGCTTCACTTTTTGGGGAGACAGAGAAAAAAAGAGAAAGTGGGTAAATAGCTTTTGTAAATGTAAATTCGAATTGGGTGGTTATCGCGAAAAGTGGTCTGGACTGAAATCAGTGATGGAGGGAGGGAGGGAGGGCTGGCAGAATCTGCTGCCAAGGGGCCTATTTCCGCTAATAGAATGGGACTTTGGGATCAAGATCTCCATCTCTTTATGCTCTCACCAGCGTCATCGCCCACCTGCTCACGGCCAGTTAGCGACTACCTTCTCTCCTTAAAACTGGATAAGTGATGGGCATAGAAGTGAAGTGGTGGTGGTGGTGGAGGCAAGAAAGTGGAAAACTGATCCTTTTTTCTTTCTCTTTTTCCAGGGGAGGAAAACCACTCATGGCGAGCTTATGCTTTAAACCGCCGACGTCACTTGATATTCATGAAACGAATTGAATACCCAACACCCATCCAACCAACCACCAAAGAAAAGTGGAGAGAGGAACGCTAGCTAACCCGTTATCAAAGGAAAAAATCTAACAGGATCACTTGACACGGCCCGAGGCAGGGGGTTTCATATTTTCTCCATAGTTTAAACACACTAATTACTTATCAAACTATTAAACTGGTCTCCAAATTGGAGACGGTTGGCAAATAGTAGTCCAAAATAATTTTCCAGAGCTAGTTAGTAGAACTTTGACAAGTTTTGGTCAGAAAATTAAATTTTTCAAAACTCAGCAAAATAAAACCAAAAACGCATGTTTGTATGTTAACGGACCGTCGGCCGACCACTTGCACCTATGTTCAAATTTGATTCTAATAAATAATTGCAAGTCGATGGATTAAATTTTGTGATGCATAATCGATTCCCCCGACAGACCGACAGACACACATCGTCCCGACCCCATCAGCCCTACCTCTCCCTAAAAGAAAAGACGCACTAAACACACTTTCCACTCATAAATACATCCTCTTCTCTTAAAGAGATTTCTTCCATCCTCCTTTTCATACATTTTTCTTTAAACGAATGCATCCCAAACTCTCGACAATTTAAATCTGTGTATGTGCTTAAAGCTTGCTAGGATTTTTTGACACTGCTGTAAACAATCAACTCCAAACCCCCACCACACCCTAATCCTGCTCATTGACAAATTTTCCACACGTGGATTTTAGTCTTATCTTCTCCCTCCCTCCCTCCTCCTCCTCCCAGGTTTTATTGGATTGAAAAACTCCCACTTAACGAGAAATACGCAGTTTTTTTTTACATTTTATCATTCTTCGCCATGCACCCAGCCCCAATTTCATTTTGCAATAAAGTGGGAGAGGCGGGCAAATTAGGCTTACGTACGTACTTTTCAGAGATCAAACGTTACATCGGGTCGGGTAGCGTGGAATCTAATAATGCTGCATAATATGAAACAGGGGGCATGAATACCACTTAAGAAGAAGAGTGTAATCTCGTCCTCCTCAAAGTGGATGGGGATGAGGAGCCATCTCATCGACATGGCAGGCCGGGCACCTTAATTGTATTCATGATTAGGGTCAGGAGCAGTCAAAGGGCGGGCGGTTGAGGATCATGTCAAACAAACCGGACCAGCAGAGATTTCAATTTAATCCTAATAAACAAACATCAAAGTGAAGTTTGTCATAAGTAAGTTTTCTATCGTAGCGCAGCTCGTGATTAAATATTTCCTGCTTCGTAGAGTAGGCAATTTTCTGCAAAGCAGGGCAAAAAAAACAGAAGAGGGGAACAGCAAACAAATGGATACAAATCTACACTCTAAATAAAGGGGGAATGGTTTTGTTACCGAATTTTGGTAGCAAAATTATACATGAAATTCGCTGCGAAAATCAATTTCATACACAAAGAGATTACTGAGCTAGTGAATTTTGGTGGAAATTTTTCCTTTAATTGCACACGAAATTC